GCACTTTCTTTTACTGTTAGAAACACAGACAATTATTTTACTTTTAACAGCGACAGTATTGACTGTTATAATTCCGTTGGTGACACAGGTCGTATTTTAAATTTAAACGCTAATGCCGATCAATATGTTAAATCACATTCGCTATTGGTAGACACTGGAATAGAAACCTTGACTGGTGGCTATACACTAGATGTCGTTAATAGTGCTATTGTTCGTCAGAATTTAAAAGTGGATGGTAATGTTGATTTAGCAAGTTCAACAGGAGATATACAAGTTCCAGTAACAGGTATGGATATTGTTAGAGCATCAGGAGATGCCAATTATAATTTAAGAATTAGAGACACGCAAGGGGTATGGGAATTTAGGAATAGAAATTTTAGATGTATGAACCCGAGTAATCCAGCGAATGGAACTGAAATGATTTTACATGACACAGGAGGAGATTATCGTTTAAGAATAGGAAGTCAGACAACAGCACAAGTCGGAATAGGAGTTCAATACAACGCCAGTTATTTTTTAAATGTTGGTGGATTATCTAATTTTAATCAGGCGAGAGTAGCAACAGATTTAGAAGTAGCAGGAGATATTAATTTAACAACTGATTTACATTTAACAGGCGATTTAAATTTTATTGGAACAACTGCGAATATTAATGATGCCACTAACGGTTTAACATTTTACAAAGCATCAACAGATGCCTCTAATGTTATGACAGTTGCTAATGATAGTGGCAAGTTAAGATTTAGAAGTGGGGGAATTGATGCTTATAACACTAATGATACATCAGCGCAACTATTATTAAATATGAGCAATAGTAATGCTGTAAGATGTAATAAATTAGGTGTTGGTTCAAATGCAGGTGTTGATACTTTTAGTTGCGTCGGCGGTAATGCTTATTTTAACTGCACGTGTAGATTTGATAATATTCCTACATTTAATAGTAGCGTTTATATAAATAGTAGTGGTAGAATATTTCAAAGAGCAGACGCTAATAATTCATTGAATGTTATATCAACAGAAGAAATAAATTTTTCACTACAATCAAATAGAACAACCGACCCGACTACTGGCACTATTGCTTTACAATTAAACGACACTAACGGAATAACAGTAAATAGAGCGGTCGTAAATAACCAGACTTTTAACAGTATAGGAAAAATAACAGCAGAAGCAGATTTAGATGTGTGGGGAGGTATATATTTTCAGCATTCATCGGCAATAAAGGAAACTTTAAACGGCAGTGATTATGATCTAGATATAAGAAATGGAGACACCGACAGGGCAATTAATTTTATTATTGGAACGATAGGAAGCACGCCGGAATTGTCATTAAGCGAAGCAAAAGTTAAAATGAATAGTAATTTAGAAATAACACAGGAAACGATAATAGCAACATATGAACAAATACAGTTTCTGAATACTGATGCTAGTGGGGAAGTGTTCTTTTATTTTGGAGATACAACAGCAGGGAATGAAGTATTGGAAATATCACCAGGCGGTGTTTATATTGATGGAACCTTTGGTTATTCATCTGATTTTACGTTAAAAGAAAATATCAAAGAAGTTAGTAGTGCAAAGTGTTATGAAATAATTAAATATGTCAAACCGAAAACATTCAATTTTACACATTTAAACGAAGAGAAGAACAAAGTTAATCATATTGGATTTGTAGCCCAAGACTTTGAAAAGGTAATTCCACGAGAATGGGAAGGCATTATAACAACAGATAATAAAGGACACAAGAGACTTGATTATTGTAAAACAGCAGTAATCACACACGGAGCATTACAGCATTTGATTAAAGAACAAGAAGAATTAACTGATTTAGTGAAAACAATGAAAAAGGAAATAGCAACAATGAAAGGAGAAATAACAAAATTGAGAAGGAAAATTAAAGATGATGATTAATAAAAATATTTTGAGAAATACTAATATTAATCACCTATTTCAAAGCGTTGTTCAAAATTAATATAAAACATGTTATTCACATCTTTAGCATTTGTGTTTATATAAAAGAACGAGTAAGGTGCAAAATTCACCGCTTGTTGATACATGTCATAAAGTGTTCGCTTGTCTACAAGGGCACTATTCTCTTCTAGGAAACTATTTACCTCGTTCATGTTCTTCAGTCTGAATATGAAAAGTGCCGAGGCATTAAGTCTGATTATAGGGGCAAGGACATTATATTTTTGTGTTGATAAAATGCATGAGATGGCGTTATGTCTACCTCTCGTGAACAATCCATGCAAGATATTTGAGTATCTTACAAATTTAGGATCATCGGCAAAGTCGTCCACCACTATTAAAATACTAAATAATTCTTTTTGTTTGTTCTTCTTCTGGAAGTCTATTACCTTGTGTTGTGTTTCTATTATCTTCTTCAATGATATAGGGTCGTAGTCTTCATAATATACTTGCTCCTTTTCAGTATCCACTTTCATTACATCAGTAATGTATTTCTTGACTGCTCTCCATGTGTCATCCACATGCACACTAGGGCTAAAAATGTATATTCTCTCAAAAGAACCTCGGTAAATCTTTAAAATTAGGTTTTGTATTAAAACAGATTTACCACCTGTTGAAGAAGCAACGCATAACATTCTTGCTGGTAGACTTGGCATCATCTCGTATTTACTATTCTTGTAATTGTATTTGGGTATGTCTATAGGTTCTACTTTAGGAATATCTTCTAACATTAATACTAGTTAGAAATTATATCATTTAAATATATATGGATAAATACATAGAAGTAATAAATGAGATAGAGAAATTTGATGAAATAATAAAAACTCCAAGATACAGAATGTGTTGTCGTAGTTTGTTGGAATTCCTTAAGGCATTCTGCTTTTATGTCAAAAATGTTAAATAATGTAAATAATATAAATGAGCGATAAAAGCGATGAAAGCTATAAGAAGAAAGGGTTTTTTATTAATTCTAAAGGTGTATCTTGTATTCCTTGTAGATGTAAGAGGCAGTCATATCATAAGGAAACAAAGACGGTAAAAGAAAACAATGTAATAACTACTAACATTGTTGAAGATAGGCATAATATGAAATTTGGAGGAAGGAATGTTAGCCCTGATGAAAACCACATATTCAAAAATGATAACCAAACAGGAAGCGTTGAAATATGTGATACTGGATTTGGAACTCATGGTATAACACCCGAGGAATGCGAACAGAGAATAGAAATGACCGAGACCGACATTGAATGTATTAAGAAAGACATAGAACGATTGGAAGTAGAGATTGAAAAATTGAAGTTTAAAATTGATAAGAAAATTGTAGAATAATATAAATATGGATTGTTGGTTTCCTAAGAAAGAAAACACCGAAAATAAAGCAGATTGGCTGGCGGAAAGAAGAAATATCAGAATGTATAACGCCAGATTAAGTGCTATTATAGATGAACTAGAGGATCATTATCATTATGAAGAATATAAGAAGCGATTTAAATTGTTGTTTGAGTTTTATCAGCTGAAAGAATTGCTAAAATAATGTTGTAAAGAGTGATTTACTTATAGAATGACAGCGCCCCACATACGCCTCGCCAGAGGCTCGCGATCTTTCGAGACAGCATTTCTCCCATTTCCCCAGTGTGCCTTCCATAAGCATGTCAAAAGAACATGGTAATGGTTAATTAGTTTGAAACAATGTTTGTCATAATTAATAAATTATGATAAATATTGTAAAACAGTATAATATGACAATATATGTTGATAAGATAACCATGGAGTTTAATACTGAGTGCCGTCCTCCTCATTGTGAAAGGCAATGTGTCAGATGCAAAGACTGGAAGAATTTAGTGCACTTCAAAAGATATTATTATTGCAAAACGGGTAGGTTTTTAATGCAGTATAGAACCACTGTTACTTGCTGTGAATGTTTAGATAGCATGAAAGCATACAACGACAAACGAAAAGAAGTGAGTTTCAATGATAAAAGGAAACGTGAGGTAAAAGCATAAGTATAATGTAATCACATTTCATAAGAGTTTATGGAACGTAATTCTATTATGACTACAACCTTTAACCCTAAACCTAGTAAAATCTATAAGAGAACCCTTGCCCACTTTGGGATGATAATACCACCTTTGGGAATATGGATAGGGTAATTGGTTATTCCTATACTGGTCTTGGTAATGGGGAAGTAGTGGTGATATTTGGGGGATTGTAGTAGGGAGTATAGGAATATTCCTCTTATATGGATGAGGTAATCGGTTATTCCTATACTGGTCTTGGTAATGGGGAAGTAGTGGTGATATAGTTGGTGAGGTGTAGGGGGGAGTATAGGAATAATCGTCTAATGGGTTGACTGGTGGTATTATTACCCAAAATGGGCAAGGGTTCTGCTAACTATTATGACACCATATACTGGCATGGAATGTGATAAAAACAGCATATATTGGCATGGCATCTGGTGTCCTTTACAGAGTAGGCCGATTCTTGCGCAGCCCAGCACCTCCGCAGAACGACCCCCTCGGTCTGAACCTCTGTCCCAGCCTCACGGCCCAACACACGGCCGCCACAGCCCCGCCGCATTCCCCTCTGCAGAGTTGCTCATGCTCTGCGCCGTTGGGACACACAGTCAACGATCCTGAGTCTAAACCCTCAACCCTAACCCTTTTCCCTCAGGGAGAGAGCAGCTCAGGCATTTTTGTGGTAGTAATTCGTAAGGTCTAGATCATTCTAGATCCCTCAAGTACGATGTGCATGCACCCAATTGTCTCCACCAGGTTTCTTTGCGTGCAATGCACCTTGGTAAAGACCAACGTCGGTTCCCTCTAAACCTCGACCTGCAGCAACACCTGCGCTTCAAGGATTCCAAGTTATGTTATGGGGGGGCTGGGGCATATAGTTTTAATAGGTCTTATAGGATTAAGGGCAAGAACCTTGAGTGTTTATGAGGCTTCATAGGCTATCGAGAAGCAAGCGCGACCCGGCCGGCCCCGTGGGGGCCCCCACCCTCTGCGCCCGCAGCCCACGGGTCAACGCCGCAGGTATCCTGGAAATCCGCTGATCGCGGCTGGGTGTGTGCAAAGAGGCACGCCTGTATGAGCTCATGAAAGGCTCACGCAAAAAATGCGGCATGGCTGCTCACGCAGCGGCTTGCAGTAGCTGCTACTGTACAATGCGTACATGTATGTGACAGGCGTTCACATGCAGGGCAGGAATGGGCAGTGGGCATTGTGGCCGTCATTGTTTGCCTTGTCTTCGCCCTTACTATTTGCATCTGTTGCTTTTGCCTCCCCACAAACAGCGGCACTGGTACAATCCAGGTCCTGGACACGCGAAGCCACAAAAGTTATATGACCATGCAGTCTGAGCGCAAACACGCCCCAAGTCACTGTGCTGGTTTTTCTTTCCACTTAGCACCAAGCTCGTGTGTGCTCTTCGAGTTCGGACCTCGGAATGATGAGGTGGTGCGAGCGCGAGTTCTACTTACTCTTGGATGGAACCAGCACTTCCTTGTCGCGATGTCAGGACGAGTGTGCCAGGCGCAAGTCTTGTCGTGAAACTCTGAAGTCGGGTTTTAGGAGGCTTTAGGCCTCTGCCATTGACGTCACCGAGCTGCAACTTGTTCTTTCTGCTTACGGTTAGAAATAGCAAAGCATAGCTTCGCAAATGCGAGCGAGACTCTTGCGGATGGCTTTGCATCTTGAGCTGATTGCTACCATATGCCACTCGCCGGCGTCCCCAGGATAGATCGCTTAGTTACTTCTCATTTGTACATCCCTTTCACATCTTCGCTAGGCCAGCATTCCAAGTAAAAAGCCTTACCGCTTTCCTTGTGGCCAGGTTCGCGTCGATTCATTTCAGCAACATCTTCATGATGTGATCAAAGAGGAATACACATGAAGAGACTAGCATCGTTAGAGCTTAGAGGCACGGTTAGCATCGGTTAGCTGGTTTGCTCTCTGAGAGCCTTGAGAGTCGACACAAGCTGAGCCTCTCACAATTGAAAAGGGGGCGAAAAAGATGGGCAAAGGGTTCCTGCATGTTCCTGCACAGGCGTGCCATGGTCACACAGTGCGCGCAGTTGCCTTTTCTACCTCCCCTAATTAGTTGTTGTGTGTACTTGTGTGACGTGTGGTCTGGAGCTGCTGTGTGAGCTCCCCGGTTGTTTGTTGGCCGCGTATTTCAAGTTTTCATTTTCTGGCTTCGACAACGGCTGCACCTTGTTTGAGCAAGTGTTGGCGACAGTCGAAAATCCAGCTTCAGCTGGGTTCAAGCTCTCAACCAAATGTTGAGCGCAGCTCCGAGCTTCACTGCCCGGATCCCTCAAGCATCATCTGCCTCCACATCCTCCTGAAGTTACAATATTTTACGAGTCGTAGGCAGAGCCTAGATGCCTTAAAGTGCCAGCCTTAAACGGATCCGTTGCCTTGTTCCAATGGATGAGAATCTGGGGCGTAAGCCCAAGCAGCCGCGGCCACAGCGAGTCTGGCGCTCAAGTCAAAGATAGTCAAAGCCCCAAATTGCCAAAAGCCGAAAAATCCCGGCTCTGGGTGTTGAAGCCCTGACAAAAGTGCGTTTTTGGAGCCACGCAAGATACGAAAGGTCCCGGGGATGAACAACAGATGCAATCCACAGTTGCAACTTGAGAGAGCCCGAGGCTCTTTGTTAATCGGCACAGTGGTCGATGGTTGTAGATACGGCGCTACTGTGCAGAGATGCTACACACAATGGTGCACATCTGTGCGTCAAACCGAGTGATGTCAAAGTCGTAGTCCAAGGCCATTGGGTTGCAAGTCCTCCTGTTCTGTTGCCCTTCTCATGCTTGTTTCATCCCCCGAGCTGTCCGCTCAGACCTGTCGGTCTGCTTTGGTTGCCTGGGCAGCAAAGTACGCATGGAAGCTTCGAGTGAAGTTGAAAGCCTTCAACCAGCGTTCACCAGCCATTTTTCCTGGCATTCAGGTTTTTGCTAGAGGTTGCTCGGGCCTCAGGTAAGATCTGACCAGCATTCAACCTGGTGACGCCGATGCGCAATTACCGGACATGGCGCAAGCAATCCACTTTGCAGAACTCGCGACAGAAGAAGTGGAGAGTAGGTAGCACAAGATCTTCGTTTAAACACAGGATCAGCTGGGCTTTGAGAGTGCTGTAGGGTAAAGGTCCAGTACGAACAGCATGTTTACAGGACAGCAAGACCTTATATGGGAGTTGTTTGACACAATTGGCGCAGCTGCGACGATAGAATTCACAACAGCTTTGACTCGATTGCTGCAGAGTAGCAGCGGCAGTATGTAGGCTCATTCGGCACTGGCGATTGCAGATGCAATTGAGCCGGTAGAAACGGGTGTTTATCCTGAGCCAGTCGGAGATCACCCTTGGCCAGGTCGGTCGCAAGACCTGCAGCCTCCGCCGCAGCCTCCCCTGCAGCCTTTGCAAGCGCAGTGGATGGTATCGAGCCGCCTCCTGCGCCTGTGGGAGAAGGGAGAAGGCCGCGCAGCTGCACTGCATCGCGCGACAAAGGATATGCAAGGATGTAAGAGGACGCGACAGTGACATGCTGCAACAGTGAGAACGAATCCAGACTGCACGACAAAGACTTGTGCCGTCGCCCAGGGCTGGGCTTTCAACAGCTGGGCTCCGGGCTTTGGCGCGTCTTCGACGAGAGGCCACAAATGACACACATGCCATCACAATGCATTTGCCACTGCCCAGATGTCCGCGGCATGTCTTCGACTCATTCTCCCAGGCATTGACCTTTCAGCTTTGGAAAGCAGGTGCCCGTGGACTTACGCCTCAACAGCGAGGACAGGCAGTTGTTAGGATATGCTGCAGGACTCTCAGGGAGCTGCACCCAAGCAAGAGCGAATCATATGCCAACTTCAAGCACAACTCAAAGCAGGAGCTACGCAATGCCGCAGACCTTGCCGCGCTTGTAGAGGAGCCCAGGGCAAGCGGTCCATGGGCACATGTTCTCACAATCTCAGCTGCGGGGTACTTCGACACAATTCGACACAATTCGACTACTAAGCAGAGAATACTTCCGAGTCACGACACCAGGCTTGCGCCTCTGCCCTTCGACGAAACGGTCAGTCTCCAAAGACGTTGACGCTGGGACCATGGGGACCCTTCACGGGGTCTTCACATCAGCGGGCCGTTTTGAGCAGCAGATAGCAGCAGCAGCGAAATGGCAGCCTGTGACAGCCACCCCTGCATCCAGGACAAGAGGCTTGCTTCTGCCATGGGCATGCAGCCATTGGAGCGACGGCAGGGGACTGCGAGGCTCCAGAAGCGGCCGTTGAGGCTTGGAACAAACCTTCAGCTGATGGCATACACCTACATACAATCTACAATAGACTCAATAGACCATAGACTCTACACTGTATACACCATGAATCTATACAGTCCATGTACACCAGGCTTTCCACAAGTAGTTAGATTGCATAGCTGGTCCCCTTTCCGAAGGTGCTTCTCAGTGGCATGGCCTTGCGTTTCAGCTTGGAATCATTCTCTCTGGCAGTCATTGACGCTTTGCAGACGGATGCAACATCCGAAGCCAACGGCAAGTAGTTCCGCAGGTTTACACCGGAAGTAGTGCTTGATGTAATCCTTCCTCTCTCCTTTCTTGCTCACTGAAGCATGACATCCAAGTCAACATCCGCCGTTCCATGATCAGGTTACTGTATGTCAGGCTAGTGGAAGGGCGACGATAATGAGCAGAGGGCTACAGCTACACGGTGCCGTGGCATTTGATACCGAACTTGTACGTGTCACCGACAAAATCCGAAACGATGCTTCTTTCGCAAGTGGCAGGCGTTCATCCGCTTGAGTCCAACTTGGGCATCCTGGCAACTGCGCAGCGTTTCAATTCTTGAGCCACTGGCCTGCCAAGTTATGCAGGGGCGCATGTGAGTGCATAACAAAGATTAGGGCTGTGGCTTCCAGAGTGGGTAAGGCATGGAGACGTGCTTGGTGCATCATGTGTTGGGTCTGTCCAATGCAACCTTCGACTGCAGGGCTTTGATTGATTGGTCAGTGAATGGTGAATCATGGGGAATCATGCTGCTCAGAATTTGACGGGCCAAAGACGATCCGGTTTGTGGCAACGAGAACATTGCATGCTGCGAATGTGGAACAAGTAAGTCAGTCTTGCAGAGCCGAACTCCACAACGGCTGCATGAACAGAGAATCCACGCATGAAGGGCAAAGGCAAATGCGAAACATAAAGCGCGCAACCACTAAGATGATGGCTCCTGTACCCAAGTCGTTTTGCTACGCCCTCTAAGGGTGTCAGTGCTTGCAGAGGCGCTTTAGTGCTCCAGGACTGACAAGCTTCCACCGAAAAGCTTGCAGCCTTGAAGGTTACGAGGCGCGGCCGATCACGCGGCATTGCTGGGCGCGGCGCTGCGTCCAACCACGCTGCGGGTCCTTCGACCCCCGCCTCAGTTTCTGTCAGATTGCACATCAGACGGGGACCGCAACGGGCACGATGGGCTGACATAGTGCGGGAAGGCGTGGGATGCATCGCAGAATTTTCGTTTGGGGCGATTCACAAGCACCCCGCGTGCACCCATGGAAGTTTATCGCTGCTGAGTGCTGGCGCATCACAGACATGATGGGTGTGCAAGTAGATGGTCCTTGGACGACACTATGCCACGCACGCCCACACGCACGCACGCGAGCTGAAGAGTCACGGTTGCTGACAAGCTTAGGATTGCAGCACTTGGCGCTGCGAGGAGCCATCGCACCTCTCTTGGAGGCTTCAGATCACACTAGCATGCAGCAGTACTTGCTTGCCTGCAGTTTTCGTCAAACATTCTTGAAACGGATGAATCGGTCCTGCTGTCAGGCTTTCTGCAGAGACCACCCCCATTCCTTGCAGGTTCTGGACTTGCGCCTTGTCAAAGTGGAGAGTCAGTGCAGAATCTGGTGCTTTGGTCATGCTCGTCGGCTATACAAGAGGGCAGTTATGCGGCGTGTGTGCCAGGCCAGCGTGCGTCTCACAACCCTTTTACAACCTTCCTGCAGAGGCATTCAGCCCAGCCGTGCACTTTCAGAATTTGGCGTTTAGAGCTCTGGACTCCCAGCCATGGCAACAGAGTTGGAAATTAAGAAGAGAAGACCAGGCACCTGAGAGGGTCCTTGGCCGGATTGTTTGTTCGAAAACACTTCGGCCTTCGTCCAAGAGCCGTACCGCTGTGAGGAAGCAAGGCAGCCTACACAGTGGAAGTTGTGGGCCATGGCTGAGTCTGCAACACCAACCCTTACATATGAAGCTTCGTTCATCGTTGTATCATGTTGTTTGCTCATTGGGGACACCCATGAATTTTCATGAAAATTGAAATTGTGTTATTGCAAGATTGAGGAAATAGAAGAAAATGCGACAGGGAGGTTGCCCTGATAAAACATAAACAAGTTGAGGGTGTTTTTTTGAAATCCAAGTGAGCTGCCCTCCGTTAGATTTGGAAACAAATCAACCTCCTGTCGTGAAACAGCGAGTTTATGTTCTGTTTCATCAGCGCTCAGGAGTGGCAATGGCCTTACAGATGAGGATGTGACCTTTCTGTTTTCGTTGGCAGCACCCGAACAAGGCGGGTTGCATCGATTCCGCCTCAGTTGCATTCTGCCCATTGTCGGCCCTACCCGTCAGAGTACTTTTCCAGGCAAAGACCAGGCGCCCTTGGAACTCGAGGGTTTGATTCTGAGTTGGCAGCTCAGCTTTGTCAGCTGTGTTTGGTCCATCTTGATTCCTAAAGCAAGGAGGCAACCGGCGCACACTATATAAACAAGCAGTCATTGGCTGGGTCCTTCAGGCCGGGCAAGGAGTCCAGTTGCGTCGAGTGTGCGCTCCTGGGCTAAGCCGCACGCACGACTTGCGGGTCCTCT